TGAGTTATGCCACAATTTTTCAGTAAGCTGGCCCACTTGTCATTGAGTGGTTTTTTTTGCCATAACTTACCACAATTGTGGCTAATAAATTCTTTTTTTTAAACAACCCGCACAAGATAGTGTGACGTTTCTATTAATAAAAAAGGAATAAAGTACAAGCCTATAGTCCTGGGAGACTATAGTTAGGAAAAAGAAAATATACAACCACACCACGCGTCTACGACTGATCCTACTGCTTAAACAAAACATGCACACAACACCCCAAAGCAATAGGACTTCTAAACGACGCCTCCAAGAAGGAAAACGACGCCAAAAGCGCCGCCGCCGTCCGTGCTAGATAACCAAGACAAGGTTTTGACATGAAGAACCCACTGGGAAACAATAGAAAACACGGCAACGCCCCAAGGGGAAAACGACGCCTACAGGCGTCGCCGTTGCCAGCCCAAAGGCTAGGCCTTTGCCTGTTGTTCTACTCTCCACGTTAAACAGTGCTTGCCATTTTAGCAGAACCACCATCTAATCCCCTTCGACGTGCAGCCACTGCGCCGACGCCTCGCCGAGGGCCAGGCATCAAACAAGAGTCTCCACCTTCACCGTGCTTCACGTCCATCCACGTGGTTGGGTTGGAGAGGGAGAGGGTGAGAGAGAAGAATGGATCCCCTCTCCCCCGCACTCGCCCGTCTAGCGTGGCCATCTTACGGCGGCAAGCCGCCACCGCAAGAGGGCAGACGCCTGGAAGGAAGCTCGCCGCAGGCTTCAACACCCCTGTCGACGTTTGATGTCGCGATTCCGGTATTTGCATAGTATGGGGATCGTTGGTACCAGGGTATATGCGAGATTGTAATAAAAGAGATGGGGACGAGGATTTTTATACAGGTTCAGGCCCCTGAATTGTCAGGTAATGACCCTACTCCTGTTGGCCGAAGCCGGTCGTTGCTCTTATTCATCATAATCACACCAGTACAATATTTAGGGTAGCCTATCTATTTGTTGTCGACTTGGCGTTCTGAAGTGTTGACTCGTAGTCGACAACAGGGTAGCCTTCCTCTTCGAATCCGCATCCGGCGAGATCAAAGGCAGTGCTTTTGTCTCTCCTGACAGTATCTGTAGACACCATAGGGGACTAGCCATGCTTATCTCTGAAGTCGATATCCGGCGTCTTGTCTTGGCGTATGTTGGCTTGTATGTTGATCTTGTGTCTTGATCTATTGTTCCGTGTCCCCTCTCCTCCTAGGGGGCCTTGTATTTATACCCATAGATGTCCCCTTGTCCAAGTAGAACTTGGAAAACCAATATGGATACAATCCTTGTCGTTTCCATGTAGAACACTATTCATCCTTCCTTATGCGGAACTCCTCCTATATCTAAAGGTTGTTTCTATATAAGACATGCTATGTGGTGGGTCCTGCCAAGATTTAGTCAACTACTATTAGGTATATGGTATCCATAACCCTGACAACCCCCCGCACAGCATGACCGTCGTCGCTGCCTCGACTAGACCACCCGTGTTCCAACGGGTGCTTGGTCGCATCATCGTCGCCTCCGTCCTCCTCACCGCAGCCATCGCCTCACCGTTACCACCGCCGACGGGCTTCACCACCGCCCCCGGCCGCTCCGTCGCGCCGTGCAGCCGTCTCCTGTCGCCAGCTGTGCCACGTCACCCTGCGCCATCATCGGCCAAGCCTCCGCTATGGCCGCCACTGCGGCCTCCCGCGCGCGCCGGCCTCCGCAGCTCCCGGCCGCATCACCAACCACGGCCTCCACGAGCGCCGGCCTCCAACCGTGCCTCCCCGCGCGCCATCCTCCTCAGCCTCCGCCACCGTGGCCTCGCCATCACCACTGCGTCCTCCACATGTGCCGGCCTCCTTCACCGGCGGCCGCCAGCCGCCAGCCGCCACCGCCACCTTCGGCTCCCATCGTCGTCGCCCGAGGGCTTGCTCCGGCCAGATCCGTCATGGAGGCACCGGATCCAACCGCGGGGAGGCCAGATCCAGCCGCGGCGGCGCCGGATCTGCCGTCTCCACCGTCTCCACGCCGCGTCGTCAACCTTTCCTCCACGCGTCGGCCCGCCATCCACGCGCGGAGACGGGGCGCCGTCGGGGGTTGGCCTCGCCGCCGCCATCCCGGCTGGCCGCACGGTTCTCCGGCGGCGCGCTCCGACGGCGGCGAGGGGAGGGAGAGAAGGAGAGAGTGGTGGCGGCGACGCTAGGGTTTCCCCTGTGTCGCCCGCGTGTGGGCGACGCGGGGGCGAGAGAATCCTGGTTGCCGCTAACAAATTCTTAGCCATACAATGTGTGCCATGCCACACTTTGACAAATATTTTGGCCTACCTTCCTACTTTCTCCGTCCCAAAATGTAGACATTTTTTAGGTTGAGACGGATTTAAAAAAAGTAGGTGAGAATGATTGGATGAAGTATATTATTGGTTGAAAAGAGAAGGTAGGTGAAGAAGAATGGTTGTGATTGATTAAAAGAAGAAGGTAGGTGAAGAAATAGCTTTATTTTAAGACTAGGTACTATGCTTGAAATAGTATATTTTAGGATGGAGACAGTAGTTAATTGTGACAGCTAAAAAAACACAGTAGCGAGGTTTAGATTCTCGCCCTTTTCTTTATTCGACGGTACGCACGTTAATTTTGGTTTGCTTGACGTGGTGTTCAACAGCACGTTGCCGTGACTTGGATAGCAAAACAGAACGCTACGGTGCCCCGGCTAGGGGAGTAAAGAAAGGGTGGAAGAAAGATACTCGAGCAATCAGCGATACCATTCCAAATGCTAGATGACAAATCTCCCTTTGCAGGCTCGCGCAGCGTCATTCTCGGAGTCATCGCTTCCGTCCTTCTGACCCATCGCCTGCTTTGGGAAACCAACCTTTTACTACTCTCACTTCACCTGCTATCTGAAGTATCGAACCCCTTTTCTTTCATTCCTGTCCTACGCAGCTCTCCCTTGGACCTTTGCCGCCACAACCAACTACTGAGAGCAAGTTTAATGGCTATAAACTGAAATATAACCTTATACGAAGGAAAGAAAATTTAAGAAAATAAAAAGGTTGGCTCTCATGTCTAATAGCTAACTATTCACATACTTTAAAATCAAAACATTAAATGTATAGGTGAGAGATAAAGATAATAAGAAAAATAGAGATAATCTTATAACTTATCTACTATACATGTTAACTCTAATATACATGTTAACTCTAATATTAGTTATAAGCTTATAATTGACTCTATTACTAAACTGGCTCTAATATAAGTTATAAGTTCATAGTTGACTCTATTATTATTACTCTCAGAGTGAAGTAATGTGGTCGTTTTTACAGTGTGGTACTTGTTGAGATCTAGACGCAGCGGCGGAGACAGCGTGGGGGCTTGGGGGAGGGGTCTTTAGACCCCCTACCGTACCATTAGAGCCCCCCATAATACCCCCTAAAATTATAATCCATATATTTATACTTTGTATTAAAAATATAGCTAATTTATATGAGACATGTATTAGTTTTTATTGACCACTTTGTTTAACCCTGCTATAATTTTATTCTAGACGTACCTACACGGAGGCAAACAACGTTCCATTTACCAAAAAAAAATAAGTGAATATAAAATCTTGGAACACAAATTGCTTTTCACAAGTTAATGCACGTACGCTAATTGGGGCAGCTGTCTATCGATGCAACAATCGCATTTTACAGTGCCAACATCATTTCTCTTCATCTTCAGCGAGCAGCTGGGATTGCAATCTGCAATTGCTAGCGTCTGGTTTGAAGTTTGAACTTCTTAAAACTCAGCGAACAGCTAGGAATACAACTTGCAAAGTTTCAAGTTTGAACATTTCGCTCCGACGATGAAAGAATGCAGTGCAGCCTCTTTGAGGTGGTTGGGCAAACGCGAGCACCCAAACAATTCGAGGAGCCAGCGTCATTAAAGTCAGTGAGGACATGAGCGAGGCAGCCAAACCCTCCCCATCTTCCGCGGTTGGCCTTTGGCCGGGGCTGACGCCAAGCCACGCTGCCGGGCCAAAACGGCTGCCACCGATCGATGGCGACGAACGGAAGCGGCCAAGAACCGCTCGCGCGAACCGCGCCTCAGCCGCGTACTACTAGGAGTATTATAACGGGTGGCCTTTTTGCCATCCCCACGCGCGGCGGCCGGATCCGGATGGATCTCCCCTTGCTTTTTGATCCAACAACAAGCAGGAGTATTGTTCTGGGTGGGGTGGCGACCGCGGGAACGCCAAGGCTGGCGTATTGGGCGTTGTCAACCGTGGTGCGTGATCGTGGTATCGGTGGTGTGAGGAGAGAAAGTCAGGAGACCGCCTTGTCGTGGCGCTCTCCCGTCTCGACGTACTTCGGGAGAGCACGAGCTTGGGGTTGGACGCGGACGACGACTTTTCAGCGGGGAATTAACAAGAAGGAATTCGAACTGAAATATTCGCTATATGAATATGGGTTAGGTGAGATGAAAGTTGGGTTTCTCTTACCGAAAGTTGGGTTTCCCTTACCGTCGGTGGTGGGGTTACCGCGCCTTGACAATAAGCACAGGTACAACAGTAACTGTGACAAACCGTAAGATTCCGTATAAAATTTATCAAAATTTTTAAAATTTATTTAATTTTATAGTTACCATGATTTTACCTTTTATCTTACCTAGTGGTAAACTCAATTACCACGAAACATGCGTAGTTACCGGATTTTATAAAGCCTGAATGGAAGGTGCAAAACGGACCGATGATATTTTAGAAGGTTTGTTGGACCAATGAAGTCTTCTTAGGCCCTGTTTAAATTCTAACTTTTTTCTTCAACTTTCAACTTTTCCGTCACATCGAACTTTCCTACACACAAATTTTCAATTTTTTCAATTTTTTCACTACATCGTTCTAGTTTTTTCAAACTTCTAATTTTAACGTGGAACTATATGATACGTTGAATTTTACAAGGCAGTTGTTTTTCATCCGGAATATAATTAAGAGAAATCCATGCGTAGGCCATGTAGTATCATATACTCCTACGTCCCGTGTGGTGGTCCAGATGAGTGTGTGCTCAGATAGTCGCACTGACCAGAGTCTGCCGTCCAGGGCGATGGTTCCATTGGACCACCGGCGAGTCCCGCTTGACCGCCACGGCGCCACCCATGAAGTTCGCCTCACAGTCACACGCGCTCAGACAAGCATCCTACCACTACTAGTCGCTATACTCCAGACTAGTGCCACCGCCACGGCGCCCGCGGCTTGCTCCGTCCTCGTGGATGTTAAAAAAATACCCCTTGCAGCCGTCCGGGGCTCCCGTCGCATGCACCCCCAGCCACAGCTACAGGCCACAGCCAGGCAGGCAGCGAAGCCAGCGACACGCCTCCGCCTTCGCCGCGGCCCGTACCCCCCGCCCCACGCTGCTTCTCCCACCACCTGCCTCCTCTCCTCCTTCCTGCTCCTGCCTCCTCAACCCCACTTCACCTCACCCTCCTCCCGCGCGCGGTCACGGACTAGCCGCACGCCACGCCGCCACCACTAGCTCGCTTCATTTCCACCGCACGCACGCACGCACGTACGCGCGCCGCGCCGGCTCCCTCCCGCCACAGGTACGCGCGGGGTACCGGCGGTGTGTGTGCGTGTACGTGCGCGTCCGGCGGCTCGCACGCGTCGTCCGTCCGTTGATGAGGCCCGCGCGCCGGGGCTGGGGAGTGGGTGCCTTGGCGCGGGCGTTCCTGGTTCTGCTGCTGCTGCTGCTGGCCGCGGCAACGACGACGACGATCGGCTTCGGCTGCCGAGGCGCGGAGGCCATCCGCGTCATCCCGCCGCACGGGCCGGCGCCAGGCAGTGCGAGGAGTAGCCGGGGCCACGGCCATCGCCGAAGCCATGGCAACGCTGCCCGGGTGGTGGATGCTGCAATGCCGGTGGTGGGGACGAGGCCGGTGCCCGCGCTGTCGCCGGCGGCGGACGAGGAGAGCAAGCGCCGGATCCCGAGCTGCCCGGATCCGCTCCACAACCGGTGACCCCCTGACGCATTGACCACCATGCTCTGGCACATGTGCTCGCCACGCTGCTCCTGCATGGATCGATCAACCCTTTTGTCTTTCTTGCCTGCTTAATCCTCTCAACTTCTCTTCTTTTGTTTTCTCAACTTCTCTGTAATTAGTAGGCAGCCAGCTAGATAGGGCTTTGTATTGGAAGAATCTCCCAATCCATTCCTCCTCCTAGCGGTAAGAGGGGATCGAGATTCTTGGCATACAAAGCCCTATCATGCCTCACCACTTTATTTATGATCGATGATGATGAGAAATCAATGAAAAAAGAATGCAAAGATCTATCAGATTCAGAAAAAGGCTACTTCCAACGGAAGAAGAATCAGTTGTCGTATTGACCGTCTCAGTTCATCCACGAACCACTCCAGTGCAAAGCACAACCTTTTCACAGATGCGACAGCCTTCCATGATCCCTTTTTCTTCAGATACAACTCCCATTTTTTCTGTTTGTTCTTCTGCCTTGTACCACCTGCCGGCTTTGCTTCTTGATCGATGTTGCTGTAGTAGGTGTGTTCGATCGCTGCTGTGCACTGCAGGGCTGACTGCTGCTTTGCTGGTGGGAGTTGCGGCTCCCTCGACACGGCATTAAATGCGCACGTCTTCCGTGTGGCCGGAAAGAGTCGAGAGCGCCGTGCTGCGACGCGACGGCGAGTGATGGATGGGACGGGTGGCGATGGACAGGCGGATGGACCGATGGGGGCGCGTCACGCCGTCCCGCCGGGGCCGGCCTCTCCGTTTACCTGCCCAATTTTCGCTGGACAGCCGGGGGTTTTCATGTGCACGGCCCACGGTGTGACCCGGTCTGACTCTCCGTCGTCAGCGACCACCGACCATATGCGCGGCGCAGTGCCAGTGAGTGTGTTCACGTTTGAGTTGTGTGCTGTGTTTGATCGGTTTGCTTCCGTCACGCTGTTGAGGTTGAGGAGGGGTCGCGTTGCAGCTTGCACGCTAGCTAGTCAGGTGCTTTGGCGGGGGCAATGATGTCTCATGGCCATGTGGGTATCCAGGCAGGGTTGGTGGTAGCAGCGGCAGATTAGCAGCTGTAGTAGCACAGAAGAGGGAGGAGGGGGAAGGAAGATATGGGGCATGTTTGGAAAACCAGTTTACAAGAATTTGAAAATGTTGGATTTCTCGGGGCTTATTCGTTTCAAAGGAATTGCAAAAGAAAAAACATAGGAATAGGGATAGGTTTTAAACTACCATTCGTTTCATAGAAATGCACCATAGAAAAACTATAGGAAAGTTTTCCATTCATTTATTTTTGAAGGAAAAGCATAGGAAAAAATAATCCTAAAGATGAAGATGAAGATAAAAGATTAAGTGTTTCACGCAAAACGAGGTGGTAATAACGTGTGATTAATTGAGTTTTAATTTTTACAAACTTGAAAAATGGATTAATCTTATATTTTAGAACAACTTTCATATAGAAAGTTTTCACACGAAATGTACCGTTTAGTAGTTTGAAAAGTGTGTCACGAGTGTCCAAAAGTTTATCCAACTTTAGTTAGAGAAAAGAACAGGGCTGTCACTAATGTTTGCATTCCGTTGGTTGGCTTGCTCAATAACATAGGAAAAATTCCTGTGTTTTTCAATCCATAGGTTTGCACATGTATTCCTGTACTATTCCTACGTTTTTTTTATTCCTACGTTTCGAAAATCCTGTGAACTGAACGAGCCCTCAGCTTTTGGCTTTTAGTTTATTTTTTGGATTCTAAATTATAAGAAGCAACTGGTTGGTAACTAGTTTAGGCCCCGTTTAGTTCCCCTAAAATTTTCTTAAAAACATCACATCGAATCTTTGAGCACATGCATGAAGCATTAAATATAGATAAATAAAAAAACTAATTGCACAGTTATAAGGGAAATCGCGAGACGAATCTTTTGAGTCTAATTAGTCCATGATTAGCCATAAGTGCTACCGTAACCCACATGTGCTAATGACGGATTAATTAGGCTCAAAAGATTCGTCTCGCAGTTTCCAGGCAAGTTATGAAATTAGTTTTTTCATTCGTGTCAAAAAAAACCCTCCCGACATCCGGTCAAACATCCGATGTGACATCTAAAATTTTTCTTTTCGCGAACTAAACATGCCCTTATAAGAATCTGAAAAAGTTGGATTTCTCAGCTTTTGGTTTTTACTCCGTGGTTTATTAAGCTAGAGTGTTTGGGGAACCTCTGATTCCTAAGGAAACTGTAGCAGTCAGAAGCCCTCCTAAACAAGCCCTTGATCAGTCTCTACGTCCTATTTTAACGATGAGATTTTACTGCAAAGGAGGACGTGAGAATTTCACACAAACTTTCTCCATGCATACTGTACAATGATTATTAATAAAGAACTCTTAAACTGTTTAATTATAAATATTTGCTGACATAAAAGAGAGAGAAAAAATAAAATATCACAGCTATGGTTAAAAAATCAATATCGACTCTTAGGGTGTGTTCGACAGTGCAGCATGGGAACTCATCCCTCCTGCATGTAAAACGGAGCGGCCTTTTATCACGTGATTAATTAAGTATTTGTTTTTTTAAAAAAATGGATCAGTATGATTTTTAATAGCAACTTTCGTATAGAAGTTTTTTTTTGAAAAACGCACCGTTTAGTAGTTGAAAAAACGTGCGCGTGGAAAACAAGAGACGTAGGTTGGGAAGATGGAGTGCTGAACTTAGCCTTAGCGTCTATACAACATAAATATAGTTGTATGAGGGTGAAAATTAAGAAATAAGAATAGTAGTGAAAAATATTACTCTTTGAGTTAATAAGTTAGATTCTTTGTTATCTTAACTATTATAAGGAAACGGTCTTTAAATAATTTGCTATTTTCTAAAAGACCATACTAAGAATGTACTGATCATGCCATAACTAGTGCAAACAATAAATATTGTCTTATCTTCTCATTTTCTATTCGCACAAATGGTCATTATTTTGGACAGTGATGAAGATATTTCCATTTCATCCAACGCAATGCTAGCCTTTTGGTTTTAGTGTGGAAACTAGTATCTCCCTTATACACCCATCCACCAATCAAACGTACTAGATTTACATTTTTGGAGAAAAAGTTTGAATTGCCCTCTGTTTTATTGGGGTGAGTATGAATTATCTTTCTAGACGCGAAAATAAGATATATTTCACTCTCAACTTATAATACCAGATGAAAAAAAACTAATTCAATTCGAAATGGTTTTGATACTATGTTAGTAGTCCAGTCAACATTTTTGTAATAAAAAAAATGATAGGACCCACCTATCAGATTCTCTCCTTCTCACCTCTCTCTTCTCCCTCCCCTAGCGCGCCGATTCGGTGGCTGCAGTGGGCAGCGAGGTAGCGACAAGATGGCGTTAAGCAATGGAGGCTATTGGGGCCAGTGAACGGCGGAGGCGGCACTACACAGCGGTGGGGTAGAGGAGCTCGAGTGGTAGAGGCGGATGGGGGCGGTGAGAGATAGAGGTGGGAGAGGGGGCGGTTCCTCCTTGGCCTCCGCTGGCGTGCGCCTCCTTCTTTTGCCTCCGCCGGTGCACGGCTGCCCTCCGTACAAGCTCGTGCAGGCACAGGGGCAATCAAGGATATATTGAGACAGGGGGGAGGGGGGAGGTGAGAGAGAGAGGAGAAAGTGAGTAGAGAGAATTTGATAGGTGTGTCCCATTGATTCTTTTCTATAAAAATGTGCTGGCTATACTATCACGTAGGATCAAAACCGTATGCAAAGTTGCTCGTGGTTTTTCATCCAGTATTAATAACTGATAGTGAAAGATGTTTGGTTTTCGTATTTATGGGGTAATTATATTGTCCCAATAATTTAGGGGCGTAATTTAGACTTATTTTCTTGCATTCTTTATATTTGAACAAAAAAATGTTGCACAATGAGCTATATGTGTTACAACCGCTTTGACCTAAGTTTGCACGGACTATACAAGTTGTGATGTTAGAGCAAACAAATTCGCAACTAGCACACAATTAAGTTCAGGCGCCACGAACATAATTTACTCAAATTTAAATCTTTAGGCTGTAAATCCAGGAAGCGTGCAATCACTATGGTACTGACGATGTTACTTTCGCCAGATTTTCCAGTATGGTTAATCACTGTACCGGTGGACAAGTAGCGCTGATGAATGATTCTCACTATAGATTCCTAGTAACAGTAGTTTCCACTCGCTATACTATTGGGCTCATGCGCAAGCAACTACTAGGGGTTATTCAATGAGTTGAAAATCCAGTTATTCTGACTGCAAAGTAACAACTCCATTCTTTTTTCGTGAACGCTTCAAATTAGATACGCTACAGTATTTTTGCTACAGTGCTGAGAGGAATCATATCCTTCTACTTGATATCATACAGTACTACAGTGCTAGTAGGATCGCTTCGGCTCCTTTAGGCCCCCCTTTGATTCAAAGGAAATTCATAGGAATTTTAAAGGATTTCATTCCTAAAGGATTATTTTCCTATAAAGACCTTTGAATCAAAGGATTGAATCATGTACAATCCTATAAAATTTCTATGGAATGCCTTTTCTCATACAAGTTTTGGAGGAAATTTAACATGAGGTTCTACCTCATGTTAAGAATTCTTTGAGTCTTTATCTCTCCTCAAATTCCTATTTTTTTCATGTGGCTCAATCAAACAGTCATTTAATGACTATATTTTTCCTGTGTTTTGTAATCCTATGTTTCACACTTGTACTCCTGTTAGAATCCTATATTTTTCCTATTCCTCTATTTTTTCATTGCTGTGATTTAAAGGGGCCCTTAGAGGATACCAATTCATAGGAATCATTCCAACACATGTTCTTTGGAACAAAGGATTGTAGCATACAAATTCCAAAGGAATCCATTCCTATATATACATTCCAGGGAAAAATATATGTTTTTCTTTTTCTAAGGGCTCCTTTGAATCGTAGGATTGAGAAAATGTAGGAATAGAAAAAACGCAGGATTTTGAGATGAATGTAAGTGTAAAACAGAGGATTGCAAAACACAGGAAAAACACATGAATGACCGTTTGATTAGACCGCAGGAAAAACACAGGAATTAGAGGAGAGATAAATACTCAAATGAAAATTTCCATGAGGTAGAATAGAACCTCATGTTAGGTTTCCTACAAAACTAGTATGGCATTAGGCATTCTTTCGATTCAAATGGCTATATAGGAAAAATTCTTATAGGAATGAAATACACTAAAATTTCTATGAATTTCCTTTGAATCAAATGGGCCTAAATTTGCATGAAGGTATTAGATTCAATTTTTTGTGCACAAATATATCGCCGTCACAGCACAGAGACAGAAGGGCCAGTTCGTAAATGACAT